ATGAATAAGTCTCATTATTACCCGCTACTTAATGCCAAGGTCAATACTTAAAATACTGAATAAGATCAAGCCTGTAGGAACCCCTACTAGTAACCTCCCTGCAGCCTGATAACATTTATTTCAGAGCCATCTTTGTCATGTCCCTTTTGCTAATTTCTCACCAGTCTATCTATACTTGTACCAGGCCCTGTCTTCTCATGTTTAACTAATAAATACCTGTGTAGCCCTTTATTATATGCTTTACTGAACTCTTGATAGATTAGAGCAACCACATTTCCCTAGTCCAGGAAATCCGTTTTTTATCAAAGAAAGATGTAAGGTTAGCCTGGAATAATCTACTTCAGGTAAACCCTTGTTGCCTGTTGTCTCATTTTCCATTTACTTGCATGCCTTGAATTATTCTTTCTTACAAAATTTGTTCTAAGGCCTTGCTTGCTTTTGAGGTCAAATTAGAAGCCCTGGGTTTGTGGTTTTTCGGATTTCATTTTTTTCCCTTTCTTAAATATAGGAATTGCGTTTGCTGTTCTTTAGTCTCACAGTACAAGCTCTGATTTGACAGTTATTAAAAGCCCCCTGATAGGAGGCATGCAGGTTTGTATGCATTCCTGGGATAGAGATTATCTATTTTTCCCCCACTCTGAAGACACTTCCAGTTCTGTTTCAGCCGTGAAGATGATACTTTTCATTTCCATATCCTCATTCCTATTAGGTATCCTCCCTTTACCCCATCTTCCTTACTGAAAATTGAAGCAAAGTATTCATTAAGTGTAAATTGTTCTACAATCCCTTGTTATAACCATTGTGTATGCACGAATGTAGTGGGTTTCAGCACAAAATGCTGGTTCATGTAATTCTTTAGAGGCAAATCTGAACACCATCTACTCTGCTTTAGAATTACCCTCTTAGAGCAAAATAGGGACAATTCTGTTCGTGGTGCCAATTCTGTATATTTGAGCTATAGTGACTAATGCAGAACTGATGTGAAATGATGTCTGGTGCTACTCATGTAATACATGAAGATTTCCACTCATGAAAGTCACCGTGAGCCTTTTTAATAGGACTGTTGGATCTAGCCATTAATATGTTACCTGGTCCCAGTGCTAGGTCCAGGGATTTCATCCTTAAATGTTTAATTTAGGACCTTATCACTTTTTACCACATATTAATTAATGCAAACTGCCTGATAAGGTCAGTATGAAACACAGGATGCAGGCAGTGCATATGGTAATAGGAATCTGCCTAATTAAGCTAGGGACTCATAGAAAAAGGCTTTGACAACTCACCAAGATGACTTAAGAGAAGTACATTGATTAAAAAAATCTATAATAGGAAAAAAAACACTGGTTAAGCATTTTATTTTCCAGCAAAGCCAGATTCATAGTTTATCAAATATTTTAATTGGATTTATCTGTATCACGTAAATAGATGTGGATAAAAGATTATTCTTTGGACCTTCCTTTGAATGTCTAGAATTGCATAACGATGAGAGAGAGTTTTATCTTAACTGGCAGTCTTAACTCTGAATTTCCTCACTTCAGTTGCTTTAAGCTGTTCAGATACTTTGCTGTAGTTTTATGATTCTACTTTCAGAAATCACTCAAGCTTTCCCTTAATAGCTAACCAGGAAAAACAAAACCCCGCTCCCCCACAAGAAGCATACCATTTCAAGTCACATTACAAAAGTAGAAATAAAATGGTTAACATTTCCAGCGAGCAAAGCAAACTGCATTCAGTTAATATTATATCGGAGGTGTTTTTCATCACCAGTCTACATCTTATCTCCACAGTTTTTTTGCACACATAATTGACTGCATTCAGAAGTGATTGTGCACCTGCACACAATTCCCAAATGACATTCAAATGCTTAATTGGAGCAGGTACAATTCTCTTTTTTTGTTTCTACAAAATGGCTGGGCCTTACTTTGTGAGCATAATCTGTGAGCTGTATGTGTAAAAAAGGGCACTCAACATTTCAGAAAAGATGCAACCATTTGCACTGATTTATTTTGCAAGTAAAGATGCTGCTACAAATAAGAGAATGTTAAAACATGCAAACTGCAGTAGTGAGAATATATTAGGATGTCAAAATACAGATATTGCAAATGACTATGTAGGTGATTATATGGGCAGAACTATGCTCAACACAGTACACAGCTACTTTTTGTAATTAAAAATCAAAATGGAGACCATAATTTGTGTCTGATCCACACTGTGTTAATGCAAGTATGATTAAGATAATGGATTGGGACTCCATACCCAGCTCAGGCACGCACTTCCTGTGTCATTTTGGCCAAGTCACATAGACCCAGTTCAGTAGAACTGTGATGCACACTGCATAGAAAGTTGCCTGACTTACAGTATCTGGAACTTAAAGGCATACTTAAAATTGAACACATTGTTCAGTATTGAAAAAATATTTGTATTTAAGTGCTTTGAATGACAGTGCCTTTTCTGAATGAGGGCTTTGAGCACTCTGTCTCAGCTTCCTAAATGTTAAAATTGAAATGACTATTTCCTTTCTCCTAGACATTGTCCGTCTTGTCTATTTGGATTGTTTCCACTTAAAGTCAGAACTTTTTTTTACTCTTTGCTTATACAGAAAACCCTTGCTATTCATGGATACATGATTCGCGGTTTCAAATATTCAAATATTTGAACGCATGCTTTCTCCCTGTGCATGCTCTCTCCCCGCATGCTCTCCCCATAGTGTATAGTGTTATGGTGGTGGCGGCATCTGCGGGAGTGCCGCATTTGCCACCGCCGGGCTCCTGCTGCCATCAGTGCATGCCATTCATGAACGCAGACGCAGAAGGCAGACGTTCATGAACATATTTGCAGATTTCCCCATTTGTGGGGACCTCTAGAATGTATCCCCTGTGAATGGCGAGGGTCTCCTGTGCAGTATTTAGCCCTAAGGGCATTGGACCTTCATTTGGACCTCAGGGCACTGTAGTCAAAATAACAATAGCAGCAACAACAGTAATAAATCCCAGGTTTGCATTTTTAAACTTTTAAAAAGATCCTCTGGAAGCTGAAATGTTGCATTTTTGAGACCACTGGAGCTGGGCAAATACTGACGAGACTAGCCAACTGCCTGTCAGGAATGATGGGGGAAGAGGGGTGGGCAGGGATGGAGTGCTGCTACCCACCACTCTATGCCACTGCCGCTGCCTCCCAGGACTGTAAGGGGGAAGCTTGCCTCGCCATCCCCCTCAGCCAGCACCCCGTGCCGCCACCACCTCCAGGGAGCAGGGCCGGGGGGACATGAGGCCGGCAGCACTGCTGGCCTTGACCCCCACTCTGTCCCCACTGTCATGGCGGCGCTCTGCTGAGCTACAGCCACTGCCTCCTGTCCGGAGTGCTCTTGGAACACTCTGATTGGTTGTTTCAATCGGCATTGTGATTGACTGCCGAGACAACCAATCAGAGTGTAAATAAATAATTACGGATAGATAGACAGACAGACAGAATAAGGCTTTTATTATATTAGAACTGTCTATGAAGTTACTTGGAGTAAAATTCAAGAGATTCTTTATAGTGCTGTTCTCACTTTTAATTTGCTATCCTTAGGCCAAGTCCACGTGTGGTGTGAACATTTGGTTCCCCGGGGACAAGTAGGAGCGGTGCACCTTGCGCTGCCACTACTTGTCCCAAGGGAATGCCCATGCATGTGGCAAGTTACCTTGGTGGGGGAAGGGGAGGCTGGCCCCAGCAGTCTTATCTGGGGTCCTAGGGACCTCCCGGGCAGTGGTGGCCTTAGGGTTGTTGGGGCCCTGGGCAAGAGAGTCATTTGGGGCCCATTAGAGGCTTAATTTTGATGACTTATAAGCAAGTCAGATATTTTTTATTTCAATTTCACTTTGCCCTACCCATGAAGCTGCAATGAAAGTATCGTAATAAAATATTGATAATACAAATATTCAGTGTAATTAATTTTTATTTTTATAAAGTGTGGGGCCCCAGAATGTTGCTCAATTTGCCCTCCCCTAAGGCCGCTAATGATCCCGGGGCTGCAGCAGCAGCGATTCTGCTGGTGGAACCTGGCTGGAAGCTGCAGCACGACTCTGGCTGGCCCGGCTCTGCTTTTGAGCAGTGCACACCGTTGGTAAGTGCACTGCTCCGCTTTTTTTTCTGCAGGTTTTTTTTGACCTAGGAGCAGAATGTTTTGAATACGTATTCACTCAGTTTTCCAAGCCAGAACTGTTAGATGTACTGACGTAATGTCCATAAGAATATCTGTGATACACCTGCCCCTAAACAGGTACCTCTCTCACATTTAGGTAGGGTGACCGTACGTCCCAGTTTAGTTGGGACACTCACAGATTTTTGGAGGCTGGTTCCTGGCCGGCTGGTAAGAGGTAAACTGAGCATCTCAGAAATGCAAGGTGGGGTGGGGGGCACAGTCCAGCAGGAAGGCAGAGTGTCATGGAGCACCAGGCAGGCAGGCAAGGCCCAGTGCACCATGCCACCTTGCCCCCACCTTGGTCTGCAACAGTGCCACTGACTTGGGGGAGCAGGAGGAGAGGGGCCAATGTCCCAGATTTCTTTATGGTCAGCCTATATATAGAAGTCTCAGTTGTTCAGGCAGGGGGCAGAAACAAAAGCATAGGATCAATGGAAGCAACCAATCACAGAGCACCAGAGCAGAGTAGATAAAGCAAAGGTGCCAAGTGATAGTGGTTTTGCATAATCTGCAAGTCGTGTATGAAATAGCTTTACATAAAACTTCTGTTGAATAAATTGTTTTAATGAGCAAATACATAAAAATCAGTCTCTGTGGCTAATTTATGAATGGAAAAAAGGACTCAATTGAGCACTATAAATTGTATTTTGTAAATAGATCATGTCTTGATCTAGTGTCTCCTTGGTAAACCACACTTCTTTTTATTATATATAAGAGCTCATTTTAGACGCATAAGAACCATTAAATGACAGGTAGCTACCTTCTTAATTAAACTTCTTACGACACTGAAGGAATGCAATGCAATTAGTCAGCTTACCTGGTGAGATGAAAAATGTCCTCCACAGTTTCTTGTCACGAGTGACATCCCTTATTTCTCTGGTCATATTAACCAGTCTGCCAGCAACGGGTGGAACACGACGGAAATCTAGGATCCTGAAAGGGGAAGAAAAGAGGCAGTTTACATAAAAGATAAGAACTGAGCGAGATGCAAAAGGGGGAGGTACATTCTACAAACATGGAACCATCAACAGGCTCTAAACCAATTCCCAGCCAGGGATGCCTAAAATACTCGAGCATTAAACCTGGCCCAGACATCTCCTGGTCCCAAATCACCTAGCCAAGAACCTCAAAAGGAACTCAAACTTTAGCCAAGGTTCTTGCAAGTTCTCATCTCTGCTCCTATCTCAGGGTACAAAAAGAGCTCCATCCCTAATCCAGCCCATGAAATCCCATGGTCTCCAAGTATAACATCTGCTTCCCAGTGAACCTCATTCCTAAGGCATATATGTGACCCTGGCCACATCTACACGAGCAGCGGACTGCGCAGTTATAACTGTGCAGTTCCATCACCATACTTTTTTTTCCAATGCTACTGTGCAGTAGTAATGAGCTACTGAGCAGTAGCTCATTATTCCTGTGCAGTAATCACATCACGGGGGTTAGTGCCCACCCATGCTACTGCGCAGTAGCATCTTGTGTAGACACGTGCACTGAATGGATTTCATTCCACATCCTGTCCTAGGACGTCTCATGGCTTCTAGTCCTAACCCAAGCCTAAGACTACAAATGAGCTCCTAAAACTAAAGGTAGGATGGCAGCTCTCTTCTCCCTGCCTCGCACTGCCCTGACCAATACCCATTCCAGGCAGGAGGAGCCATGCCCAGCCCAGCTCAACCCCTGCCTCCAGCTGCTGCTCAGAGGCCAAGCTGGGCATGTGCAATTCACCCACCTCCAATTCACCCATCTTGTTCCCATGCACAAACAGTGGTATTTGCCTGCAGGGAAGCAAGTCTCCTAATCCAGCCCAGCAGCTCCCCCCGGCCCTTTATTTCTGAAACTTTCACTAATACTACTACATACTTAAACTCAAAGAAAGGGCACCAAAACATAAGCTTGTCCAGGGTGCCACTTTCCCTAAGACCGGCCCTGATTGTACTTACCTGTCCAAATGAAATGCTGCTATTTCGGCATTGTGCCTTTCATAGTCTGAGAAGTAAAAAAAGTCAGGTGGAGTTTCCTGTTCTCTGGTTTGCCTGCAAAACAAAACAGGCACCATAAACAATGGTTAGTTTATATAAGGAACGATGCTGAAAAATCAAATACTTCATTCAAGGGTTTGCATCTTAAAAGTACTTCAGGTTTGTATTATTTGCCATACATTAATTTTATCTGGTTTCTAAACTACTGTAACAAAACTCTGGATACTAAGCCTGTACTCAAGCATGAAAGCTGCTGTCAGAAGTGCTGTTCCACTCAAGACACTTGCTCTATTTAACAAGATGTATTTTCTCACTCTCAAACATTTCATTAGCGATCCCGGTAAAGAGAATGTCATTTCATTAAATTATCATTAACTGTTATTATAAAATTTCCAAAAGTAATAAAATTTCTCTTTCTTGTTTGGCAGTCATGCCACTGCTATCAAAAATCTGACTCTTCTTTTGTATTCCTTCGCCCTAACAATGACATGTTTTCTCCATTTCAGAAGAAAAGGAACTGTTGTGGTTTGATTGCAGTGACATATGTCATGTTTCAAAGAACATTAACAAGACCATGCACCAGAGAGGATGCAAGAATACATTGTTTCTTCATTTGAAGCACAAATAAAAATTGTCATTTTGATAGAATTGGAAAAGGTTAAAGCTGGAACATTTAACTTGGCTAAAAAATGGAAAGATCCTCACATATAATATATTCTGACTCTGCTGAGGTCAATTGGAGCTTTGAAACCATTTTCAGTAGGACCATGAATAAGAACATATGAACAAAGAAGTGCCATATTGGGTCAGACCAGTGGTCTATCCAGCCCAGTATCTGTCTGTGACAGTGGCAGAAGTGGGTGCTATACAGGGAGAACACTGAACTGAATATCTCTAGAGGGATCTATTCCTTAGTCAAGAATTGGCATGCAGATGAAACTCTCCTCACCCTGAACAGTTGTCTGATACAAGACCTAATCTACACTTACACTCCCTTTTGAGGACCAGAGTGGGACTTAAGTGTTGCACAGATCTATGGCCCATTTGCATGTCACCCCAAGAGTTAAAAAAAGTACTTTTCCATGCACTGTTTTCCTTGGCACAGTATTAGCAAGATGCTAAGCAGGCAAGACCTAAAGTGAGGCATCACTACAGATATGCAGAGACCAACACCACATTTATTTTCTTGTCATGTATAGCTCAAATCACAGCTATTTTGTGGGCCTGCAACTCACTTAATGAGAATCCAGACATTACAAAATGGCACCGTGCAATAGTACCTTTCACATACGTACCCCCCTGTTCAGCAAAAGTTCTATAGGGTAGCAATCAAATGAGCAATCACTTCTCTCCAATTGCTCCCATTGTTGCAGAAAGTTTACAAGGAGAAAGGGTAGAAGTGAACCCAGGACAAAATAAAAAACAACGTAGTGCTTTGCCTCCACTAAGTAGCTTAGGAAGTGAGAGGAAAGCCACAAGGAGGGACAAAATAGAGTCACAAACCCAATGCAACATACCGCACGATATGTAATTCAGAGACAATAGTCAGAGAGGCCAAAGACAAAATCCTCATTGTATCCATTCATGTCAAAACTATGGCGTAACCTCAAGACTAAGCAAAATGAGCTCAATTATAAATTCAGGGAAGAGAAATTAACAGGTTTCCACTTGGCAAACATGTAAGCATTTTTATGTAGTCATATTTTTTCAGATATCTATTACATCTCTGTGACTAATCCAAAGAGAGAGAGAGAAAAAGAGAGATACAGCTCCAGTACTTTGCAAAGCATGCACATTTTACTCAATGTGGCTGATAAGCTTCCGAAAATATTACTAATTAGCTAATCAATACCATCTGCTTTTTATCTCTCAGAGTGTTTAAAAGTATCAAGGCTATTCCTATCCAAGAAAATGTTGATCCAGAAAATACATCTTGAATAAAGGGGAGATCTTCATCTTGAGAGTGCAATGATGTACAGAAAACTGTGGATTCCTTGATGCTACATAGCTAACATATGGGGTAGTCATTAAATCACCACAGGACCGGGATAGTTGCACAAACTTCACTTATCTGTTAGCGCCCTGCAGCTCCATGCCATGGTGCTGGGTATTATTAATTTTGGAATGAGTTCATTTTTCCTGTAGTTGTAACTTGGTTTATACATGTTTCTGTACTGCCATTATACCTTATTTACATAGCAGTGTATCATTTCTGGAAGGCCAAGATCTTGATCATGAGGAGCACTCAAAACATGGATAGGGCACTGAAGTCATGGCTTCATCTGGAAGAAGGAGCAACTAGGATCTCCAGACCATGATATGTTATCAGGAAACTGTAAAAGGTATAATGTGCCACTGGGCATGTCTACATAAGATGCTTTACTGTGCAGTAGACTAATCTGTACAGTATAGTAAAGCATCACTGTCTATATGTGCAGGTGCTTACTGCACAGCAAATCAGTCTACTGCACAGTAAATGTACTGCTCAGTAAAGCCAAATCGCACTAATTGCATGTGTAGACATGCCCACTGTGTATGGCATATATATGTATGGCATATGGTACACCACAGAACGTATAAAACCATTTGCCTCTGGCACAGTTCTTAGTCAAAACCTTCTTACAAAGCAATGGGCAGTTCTGAGGGCCTGTCTAACTATGTTAGGAGGGCACCTAAAGCAATGAAGGCCCATGATCTAAATATTTCCCTTTATATTAATAGGAATGTATTTTACCAACAATTTAAAACTCAAATTCATGGGACTATTACCTGGTGTGCATAGTCAGATCAATGGGGTGTGTGGTCAGATCCTAATTCCCTAGGTCAAACTATATTCTGATTTATACAGGTGCAGAGTCAAAAGATCAAATTCTTCTCTGTCACAACGATGCAAACCTGTTTAGCTCTGTGGATTTATTCTGACCTTAGATCATTGTAAATGAGAGCTTAATTTGGCCCCAAATCTCTAGCTAATTGAAGGGCTGGAGAAGGAACCCTGCATTCTGATCCATTCTGGGTCAATTAAAATACCATATGAAACAACCCTAGATTCAATCCATCCTGTAGTCAGTTTTAGAACATGACTGCATTTTAAAAGAAAGAGGGGAAAAAAAACAAGTGTGTTTAGTTAATTAGGTGATGGTTATTGAACAAAGACTGCCGCATAAAATGACAAATGCAAACAGAACAATATGTTAAACCTCTGCAGAAGTGTAGACCTCTGACTGATAATAAATTAGGGATAATGGTAAGAACTCTTCGGTGCCAGCAATAAAGTCTCACATCAGGCACGATGCAGGTTCTGTACCAGTTGCAGAGAGTAGGTGAGAATTTCTGGCTGCTGCTCTTATTTTGCAAACAGTTGGAAATTCAGTATTCTGCTCTTTGGAGGAAAATTTGGCAGATTTTTATAATGGCAGAATGGGAAGTTCTGGAGGAGAGACAGATGGAGTTCTGCTGATTCTGCATGTCGTTAAAAATTGTGCAGTGGCACCACACCAATTACAGCAGTAGCAGAAGACAAATCAGCACTAGTAACTTCAGCAGACGAGAAACAAGAACAAACATGAAAAACCAAGTCAGTGAAAATCTTGATGCAACAACATAACTTGGAGAAAAACAGGAGGCAAAGCAAAAAAGTGGAGTTTTGTATTAATAGGAGCACACACTATTTAATATAAAATAAATAGTTTCTGTGCTCTCATCTTTTGTTGTAATGGCAAGTCATGTGGATGAAGGAAAGAATTAAAATGAGTCAGAGCATTCACAAGTAAACACACTGAGTCAGCCCATTATTAATTTTAATTAATCACACAATGTGTTGTTCAAGAGTATTTGGACAATTTGATGTGGTGATTTATGTGTGAAAATATTTGTAAAACCTGAAATACTAATAAGCAAGTGTCACCATGAATTTCTTTCTCCATAGGTTTGGAGCAAAATTCAGTATTAATCATTTCTTATTTATTATTAGCTCTTCATGAATGTTGGCCATACATTGAGACCAAATTATTATTCTAGCTAGCCTTTATAAAACGTACACTGATTGAGAATGAGAAGAAGAAAACCACTATAGGCACTAAATACTTAGGTTAGTAATCTAAATTTAGCATCCGTAAATTCTCTTGCTGTTGCCTATGTCATCATCATCAACATCAAGCATATCAAACAGTAGTAAGGTATGCCAGGACCACGGCTGTGTCCCATTGTAGAATTCAGTCTAGATGTTGTACTCCTTCAACAGACTGCCGTAAGGCTCCAATTACATGCAGAAGGGTAAAAAGCAGACAAAGACAGAAAGCCTTAGATTAATCTGAGTCACCTGTTATACTTCAGGACATATTCATTGTACCAGACATCCAGAGACATTTCAGAACCAACTTTGTACCCCAAGAATAGTATTTTAACTAATCAAAGGATGTGTCATTGATTTGTGGTTGTGGATTCTGAGGCCCTTTCTTTTGAAGCAGGCCATACTTCCTGCTTTTGGTTTAAAGAAGTCCATAAGTAATCAGCAGAGTTGACTGAAAATATTACAGGGGAGCAATAGATGACAGTATACATTCAGAAGGCAGCACCAGTGAGTGGATAAGTAAAATTAAATGAACAGGTATCTTTTTTTACATGTTGTGCTGAACTGTTTGGGGTTAGACTGTAAGGTCTTCAGGGGTAGGAACTTTTCAGGTGTCTAGCTGTGTTAGACCATCAGGCATGACGTGGCACCAATCATGACTGGGCATGACTTCAATACACATACTGATAATTATAAGTATCTTGGAAGCAGTGGATGGGATCATTTGAGGTGGAACAGTAGTAAATCCTGCAGCAGGAGAACTGGTAAGAGCCTTAGCAGGCCAGTGAAGCAAGATAACTACATTGGCCTGAACACAACTAACATGGCTGAGAGAGTAGTTTTGCTATTCTAACAGATAAGTGGAGATTATCTGGGTGTACCTAGAAGTATTAGTTGTCACTGTTCTCCTTGAAAAAATCAGTACTCTTTTGATATAGTGCTTCTCACTGGGCATGTCTACACGTTTATTAATGCCCCTTAG